AATGAAATGCCTTGACGGCGTGCAAAGGCCTTGTCCATAAAGTTCCCAGCTGCGCCTGAATCGACTAGCGCCTTACACTGGGAAACTACCAGGTGATCGGGAAAGGAGATAGATAAGGTACAGTGCGCCGCAAAGGGCTCTGAACAATTTTGGGTGTTCATTACCTGGGGTGATGCGTGAGTGCCCTGCCTACCGCCTCCAGACCCAAAGGAACGTTGACTGCGAGGTGAGGTGGATTGTCCCTTCGTGCCACCAGAGTGGCACTGTCGCTGTCCTCCTGCGCTCTCTCGACCGGCGGCTCCCCCCAGCTCCATCTGCACAGGGTCAGAGTCGTCCGGAGTGGGAACGGGCAGACCCCTAGCAGATTGTCCAGCCGGATGGCCATGTCCACCAGTTGGGAGAACGATAGCATGACAACACGGCAGGCTAGCTCCCGTCGGACGTCCTCCCTTAGGTGGCACCGGAAATGGTCGATCAGGGCCCGCTCGTTCCACCCGGACCCCGCTGCCAGCGTCCGGAACTCCAGCGCGTAGTCCTGTGCGGTCCTCGTCCCCTGCCTCAGATGGACCAGTCGTTCGCCCGTCTCTCGACCCTCAGGCGGGTGATCGGAAACGGCCCGAAAGAGGCGAGCAAACTCCCTGTAGTCCTCCAACGCGGCACCTCCCTCGTTCCACACCGCGTTGGCCCACTCCAGGGCTCTCCCACAAAAGCAGGAAACGAGGACGGATACCTTCTCCCGCTCCAGTGGTGCCGGCCTGATGCTGGAGAAATACAACTCTAGTTGGAGCAGAAATACCTTACATCACGCTGCCATCCCATCAAACGCCGGTGGCCGGGATATCTGGATCCCTCCAGGGGCTGGGGTGTAGGTGGCTGGATCCGGTTGACCAGCTGGTCTCGATAGATCGGGTCCTCTCCTCTCCAGGCGTTGTACTACCTGAAGAACCGGATCCATCGCTTCCCCCAAGCTGGCCAGCATCGAGGAATGCTCCTGGACCCTTGCCACAACTCCAGGCATGCGGTCTTCTCCTGCTGACTCCATTCAGCGGGTGAGTGATTCTGTGATGAGGTGTGAATGAAGGAGTCAGGCGCAGGAGGTAAAACACCGAAGTCCAGAGTTTATTCCGTTTACATACCGTATTTTCCGCACTATAAGGCGCACCGGATTATAAGGCGCACCTTCAATGACTGGCTTATTTTAGAACTGTTTTCATATATAGGGCGCACCGGATTATAAGGCGCATAGAATAGAAGATAGTCAAACGATTGACTGGGGTTGCGTTATGCATCCACTAGATGGAGCTGTGCTAAAGGGAATGTCAACAAAACAGTCAGATAAAGTCAAACTTTATTAACATTTACATTTTACATTTTAGTCATTTAGCAGACGCTCTTATCCAGAGCGACTTACAGTTAGTGCATACATTATTTTTTATACCCCCCGTGAGAATTGAACCCACAGCCCTGGTGTTGCAAACACCATGCTCTACCAACTGAGCTACATCCCTGCCGGCCATTCCCTCCCCTACCCTGGACGACGCTGGGCCAATTGTGCGCCGCCCCATGGGTCTCCCGGTCGCGGCCAGCTACGACAGAGCCTGGATTAAGCGTTCTGACAACTCCGTTCACTCCCATGGTAACGTTGTTCAAACGTTAATGTGCATATTAACAATATCTCCCAGCCTTGCTCACTCTTCTCCCAAACGTGGAGGGGAACTTTTCCCTGATTCAGTAAACACATAGTAAAAGAAACAGTCTGATACCACTAAATCAAACGTTAGTGCATAACTCAACATTGTTCAGTTACGTATAACACGTAAAGCTCACTTTTTCAGTTCATTCCCCGTCCACGAATCCCTCGAATTCTTCTTCTTCAGTGTCCGAATTGAACAGTTGGGCGACTACGGCATCCAACCTGCCCGGCTCCCTCTCGTCATTATCCGAGTCAGTGTCGCTGCTGTTGCCTGGCAGTTTAGAGATTATTCCTGCCTTCGTGAAAGCTTGGACCACAGTTGAGACTGATATATCAGCCCATTGATTCATTAATGTTGAATTCTCTCGCTGCTGCTCTATTCCCATATTCTACTGCGTGACCGACAGCCTTGAGCTTGAACTCTGCGTCGTAAGCGTGTCTCTTGAAAGCTGCCATTTTGGGGTCTTTATACACAGACAAGTGGTGTGGGACTGTGAGTAAGCACAGTACCAGTGTTTACTGACAACGGTAGCCGTAATGCTGCAAGCGGTGCGGCTTTGTAGTGTACCAGTCGTACTGAAACATTTCATTATTATTAAATTGTTTTTATTGGTTTTTCATACTGAAACATTTTGACAGAGCGCCTTGAGCGGCGTGTACAACCAGCATGGATCAACCAATTAACCAATTGATCCATATATAAGGCGCACTGTCGTTTTTGGAGAAAATTAAAGGCTTTTAAGTGCGCCTTATAGTGCGGAAAATACGGTAAATAAAACGCACCCAGCGTCAATACGAAACTATCACAAGGGAAATATTCCACCTTGGCAATAACAAATGGAAGAGTAGCTCAACCAAGCTACTCGCTCTCACAATGAAACAATCACTCACAAAGACAAGGGGAACAGAGGGAACACTTATACACATACTAATTAGGGGAATGAGCACCAGGTGTGTGTGATTGACAAGATAAGACATGACAAGTGGAGTGATGAGAATGGGATCGGCAGTAGCTAGTAAGCCGGTGACGACGAACGCCGAAACCTGCCCGAACAAGGAGGGGAGGCAGCCTCGGCAGAAGTCGTGACAGAGTTATTTTAGGATAAAAAGAAACGGAATAGAGCTAAGCACAGGCAAAATCCTGGTTCAGTCTGCTTTCCAACAGACACTGGGAGACAAATTCACCTTTCAGCAGGACATTAACCTTAAACACAAGGCCAAATATACACTGGAGTTGCTTACCAAGACGACCTAGTTACAGATTTGACTTAAATCGGCATGGAAATCAATGGCAAGACTTGAAAATGGCTGTCTAGCAATGATCAACAACCAACTTGACAGAGCTTGAATAATTTTTTTAAGAATAAAGTGCAAATATTGTACAATCCAGGCGTGCAAAGCTCTTAAAAACGTACCCAGAAAGACTCACAGCTGTAATCGCTGCCAAATGTGATTCTAACATGTATTGACTCAGGGGTGTGAATACTTATGTAAATGACAGATTTCTGTATTTCATTTTGAATACATTTGCAAAAATTTCTAAAAACATGTTTTCACTTTGTCATTATGGGGTATGTGTGTAGATGGGTGAGAGGGAAAAATCTATTTAATCCATTTTGAATTCAGGCTGGAACAACAAAATGTGGAAAAGGTCAAGGGGTATGAATACTTTCTGAAGGCACTGTATGCAACTGTCCCAGACTGACTGGAGAAAACAAGCCCATATGACTGCTGCTAGTGCCAGATACATCACCTCAACATATCGTATTATAGTGGGTCTGATTGTCCTGAGGGGGCTCTCCAACCCTCATGGCACCCATGACAAAACACACAGACAGACAAATAAGCACACAAACAAACAACTAACCAACCAACATCTGGACATTTCAACAGCCACACTCTTGAGTGCAAAAAAAAACAGAAATACAGCAACATATCTGAGGTGACTTATACCTCGTTTCCTTCTTCATAAAGTGAGAAATAAAAAACCTGTTCCATCGATGCGGCCAGCCAGCCAGCAAGCCACCCGGGTCATGACTTGGGGGCGTCCTGAGGCTCCGGCCGGTTGTCATGGCGATGGTGACAGGCTGCTGGCCCGTCTCCAAAGCAATGGCATTCTAGATTGAATTTCCAGCTCCCCGGCCGGCCCTGCCTGCTCCCCACAGCGCCCGTGGCCCTGTCCTAACGGATTGTCTCGCGCCTTTGAAGTGCCCGGAGAATCCGATTTGAGCCTGCCCTTGTAAATTGTTACACAGGAGCCTGGCCTGGCTGATCTAATCAGCCAATTGTGGGCTGTTGATTATAATTGGATGAATTCCCTCGCAGGCCGTTAGGGAAGGGGGGAGCGCAGGTTCGGGGAGGGTCACTGGGCCCCGGGGATGAAGACAAATGAGAGAATGACAGGAGCGAGGGATAAAGACGAGAAGCGGGGTGATGAAGAGAGGCTGAGCGCTGTATTAATGGCCCATTAGGAGACAAGGGCCTGAGAGGGGAAAAGGTAAAGCCCTCTGTGTCTGTTTGTCCTCCTCTACCATGACAGAGATGACGCCTCGTCACGATATAAAATCTGATATAGGATCAGATTACCCTGACCCCCATCATTCCCTTAACCATTAGGAGGGATAAAAAGATATCTGACCCAGTATCAGTGACTAGGGGCAGATTCTACCTTCTCAGACAGACAGGAGGTTGGATGCACCTGATGAAGAGAGAGGGCCAGATGGGACTAACGCCACAGCTAGACACACAGCATCTTGGGAATGCAGAGGCTGGATTGGCAGCCTAAATTAAGTCAATACAGGCCAGGCCAATAGATGCTGCTTGGCTTTGCAGAGAATTAGTCGCAGGCTTTGTTGAGCTGTCACACTCGGGTAACACGTTTCAGAAATCCAACACAGACACACACACACAAGTTTCCCTGTTCCTTGAAGCACAGTCTATTAACTGAGAAGAAACTGACATTACTGAAAGAAAGATTGATGTATAACAACTGAAGTAACACACAGGTTTCTGTTGAGGTTTTTGATTGAACTGTCCAGAACTAAAAATGTATCTTGTCTTAAAGACTGGCAGGTTGCAGGTTGTTTGAACAATGCCTTATCCTCTTGGTAAGACTGACAGGTTGTGTGTGGCCTGTGTGGACATCCTCCTGTCTTTCCTCTACTGTCCAATCTGTTCAATAAAAGATGGGGGGGGGGGGGGGGGGGGGGGGGGTCTGGCAGGTTGTTGTTGACTGTATGGTTCCTCTCTCTCTCTCTGCAAGCTGATGTGTTGTTGTTGACTGTGTGGTACCTCTCTCTCTGTGCAGGCTGATCTGAGTGCCAACCTGCAGGACGACAGCAGTTTCTTCTACGGCGTGTCCAGTCAGTACGAGAGCTCTGAGAACATGATCATCACCTCCTCCACCAAGGTCTGCTCCTTCGGAAAGCAGGTGGTGGAGAAAGTAGAGGTGAGAGAGTCACCAGAAGGATTGCTCCATCAGTAGAGACTAAAAAAACGAATAAATACATACCATAGATGAAGATAAAGACCGATGTAGATACATTAACAGAAATGGATATGGGTTTTGTAGAGGTGATGGTCTAACAAGCTTTGAGTCCAGGAGTGGCATAAACATTTATGTTTTAGACCTGCTATCTCTCCACACTTCACTGACTCTTGACTGCTGATAGATTTATTTGACCAGGTAAGTTGACCTGGTACTGAAATGTAAGGGGATTTGAATGATTGACAGTTGAACTGATAGACGGGGTCAACATTTGAGGTCAATGACTGTGATGATTATCCCTCTGAGAATGAATAATAACCCAACCAGTGGTTGTGATGGATTCAGCTCACTATTCACTGCTCTGTGGTCCAGAACAGACCATCACAAAAATCACAAGACAACACTTACATTCCTCCTCACCGTGACTCACTGGGTGTGTCCCAAATGGCACCCTATTCCCCATTTAGTGCACTACTTTTGACCAGAGCTCTATAGGCCCTGGTCAAAAGTAGTGCACAATATAAGGAATAGGATGCCATTTGGGACACATCACTATTGTTTTGTGTTGCCTGTCCACTACAGCATCACTGTTATCCCTACTCCCTACAGAGATGTGTTGTACAACACTCAAACACATACACACATTCACACAGATATTGAGGGGAAGCCAGGCCAGCCATCTACTATAATGTCATGACATTAAACGGTGACATCAGTTTGATTATGGTAGCCATTAGGCCTACCTACAGTGAGGGAAAAAAGTATTTGATCCCCTGCTGATTTTGTATGTTTGCCCACTGACAAAGACATGATGGTAGGTTTATTTGAACAGTGAGAGACAGAATAACAACAACAAAATCCAGAAAAACGCATGTCAAAAATGTTATAAATTGATTAGCATTTTAATGAGGGAAATAAATATATGACCCCTCTGCAAAACATGACTTAGTACTTGGTGGCAAAACCCTTGTTGGCAATCACAGAGGTCAGACGTTTCTTGTAGTTGGCCACCAGGTTTGCACACATCTCAGGAGGGATTTTGTTCCACTCCTCTTTGCAGATCTTCTCCAAGTCATTAAGGTTTCGAGGCTGACGTTTGGCAACTCGAACCTTCAGCTCCCTCCACAGATTTTCTATGGGATTAAGGTCTGGAGACTGGCTAGGCCACTCCAGGACCTTAATGTGCTTCTTCTTGAGCCACTCCTTTGTTGCCTTGGCCGTGTGTTTTGGGTCATTGTCATTCTGGAATACCCATCCATGACCCATTTTCAATGCCCTGGCTGAGGGAAGGAGGTTCTCACCCAAGATTTGACGGTACATGGCCCCGTCCATCGTCCCTTTGATGCGGTGAAGTTGTCCTGTCCCATTAGCAGAAAAACACTCCCAAAGCATCATGTTTCCACCTCCATGTTTGACGGTGGGGATGGTGTTCTTGGGGTCATAGGCAGCATTCCTCCTCCTCCAAACACGGCGAGTTGAGTTGATGCCAAAGAGCTCGATTTAGGTCTCATCTGACCACAACACTTTCACCCAGTTCTCCTCTGAATCATTCAGATGTTCATTGGCAAACTTCAAACGGCCCAGTATATGTGCTTTTTTGAGCAGGGGGACCTTGCGGGCGCTGCAGGATTTCAGTCCTTCACGGCGTAGTGTGTTACCAATTGTTTTCTTGGTGACTATGGTCCCAGCTGCCTTGAGATCATTGACAAGATCCTCCCGTGTAGTTCTGGGCTGATTCCTCACCGTTCTCATGATCATTGCAACTCCACGAGGTGAGATCTTGCATGGAGCCCCAGGCCGAGGGAGATTTACAGTTATTTTGTGTTTCTTCCATTTGTGAATAATCGCACCAACTGTTGTCACCTTCTCACCAAGCTGCTTGGCGATGGTCTTGTAGCACATTCCAGCCTTGTGTAGGTCTACAATCTTGTCCCTGACATCCTTGGAGAGATCTTTGGTCTTGGCCATGGTGGAGAGTTTGGAATCTGATTGATTGATTGCTTCTGTGGACAGGTGTCTTTTATAAAGGTAACAAGCTGAGATTAGGAGCACTCCCTTTAAGAGTGTGCTCATAATCTCAGCTCGTTACCTGTATAAAAGACACCTGGGGGCCAGAAATCTTTCTGATTGAGAGGGGGTCAAATACTTATTTCCCTCATTAAAATGCAAATCAATTTATAACATTTTTGACATGCGTTTTTCTGGATTTTTTAGTTGTTATTCTGTCTCTCACTGTTCAAATAAACCTACCATTAAAATTATAGACTAATCATTTCTTTGTCAGTGGGCAAACGTACAAAATCAGCAGGGGATCGAATACTTTTTTCCCTCACTGTATAGGCTATATTTAGTGTTATATCTATCATGCCATATATCAGGTACATTGTACATGTATTACCTTGAATTTCATCTATGAGGGCTATAATGTATTTTCACTGTGATATCTCTAGGACCATATCCTGAAATATTGAACATACAGTATATCATATCATATATTGGATACATTGTGTGTCTCCCCAGACGGAGTATGCGCGGTTTGAGAATGGGCGGTATGTGTTCAGGACCCACCGGTCCCCACTATGTGAATACATGATCAACTTCATCCACAAGCTCAAACACCTGCCGGAAAAGTACATGATGAACAGTGTACTGGAGAACTTCACCATCCTACAGGTACATGCACACACACAATTACCATTTAAAATATTGTGCCAGACAACTGTTCACTTGTCAACCACCTGCTTGCTGCTTGAATAGCTTTCAATACAGAAGCAGAAGAGATTGAGAGCATGGAATGGGAAACATGAGCAAGGAGAGTACCACCATAGTAACAAAGTGGTCGTCAATATAAGGGTTCAAAGACACTGTCCATTCCATTGGCAACTGCATTCTTACTAGAGTCCAGACACAATGACCATATTGAACCCACACAGCAGACCACATCGCAACATGTTATTAGGTTCTCAATGGGCTGATTTAGCCCATATTAAACATGAGCTGCACACACACACATTGTATCAATGCTATGGATTATGCAACAAGCGCTTCTTTCAGGCATAGGACAATGATATGGTGAAAGTATTGTTCTCAAAAGGAGCTCATGCATTTTGACAGTTCGCTTTTGTGTAATCGCTTTTACCACTCTGTCATAGTGAGAGGTGAGACCCACCTGTATTCAAAATAATGAAAACTCATTTGTAGTGCTTAAAAATTTATATTTTTGAGAAATGTGTCAGATGTGTATAGTAGTATTATAGCTAGTGGTGTAAAATGACTGTGCATGTGTGTCTGTCTCTCTGCAGGTGGTCACCAACAGGGACACACTGGAGACCCTGCTGTGTATAGCCTATGTCTTTGAGGTGTCTACTAGTGAGCATGGAGCCCAGCACCATATTTACCGGCTGGTCAAAGACTGAGACAGCCCTGTGGACAGAAAACCACTATAGGCCAACAATAACAACAACAACACCCCAACCATGGACAATCTCCTCTGTAAGCTGCAAGCACCATACGATTGTCTGTCAGGACCCAAAGAAGCACTGGGCGGGTTGCTTGCCCACTGAAACTACTGTGGAAGAGTTGGATTGGGAGCTGGAGTGAACTGTACAACTGTGTGATGTGAAGGAGAGGAGCAGAGGGTGGGAACCTTCATTGTGGTTTATCTGTATGTACTAGAGGAGCCAAACGTCAAGACAATGCATGAGAAATGGTTGTTTTTTTACCTCATATTACTAGTGATTGCTTGTTTGATTTAGTTTCATTTTACACAGCTGCATGAGCGGGATTAGTTTTCTTTGTCTGTGGGCGCCACCTAGTGACTTCTAATGTATATTACACACAGGGCAAGAGGACGAAAGGAGAACTGGAAAGCAAGACTGCACATCCATAGCATTGTTTTGGTGCTAATATTTGTGTTATTTGAGTAAAAGTACAGTACCACAGCCATCTCCTCTGAAAAAGTATCTCTATTGAAGAAAATAAGAGGCAAAATTATGATTAAAATAAATATTGTATCCACCTGGTTTGATGGTCAAATTAAATGTTTTGGACTATTGTTGAATGAAATTGAGCATAACTCACATACAGTAGATAACTCTGCTTGAACCTGAACCAGGTTTGAATCTGCTATCTATAATTGAAGCTGACTAGCTACAGTATGAATAAACTGTTGTAATCTATTTATGGCACTGAACTGAAGTTTAAGATGGAAATACAAGTGCACTTCACATATCATACTTAACAGATCATGTTGCTTGATTTTTGTTCTTAATGTGATCTATTGAGACTAATATATGAAAATGTCACACTACAATTGTTATATAAGTAATAAAATAATGATACAAATGAGTATTCCCAGGTAGGTTTCTTACATAACATGTGATAAAATGCACCCATGTTGTTAGCCATGAAAGTAAGGAAAGAATACGATTCTTTAGATTCAGAAGATCAATGATGCACTCCACTCCAGCAGGTGGCGATACTGCAAAATGTGTTTCCTACTACTTTCGCGTTTATTGATCATATTAGCTCAGAGGCCGTGTTCGATAGGATCAAAACGGTAATGTATAATCGGTAAATTGTGACTGACTGACTGATCTACAAATAATACTGAGTAGTTATTTATGGTGCAAGGTTAGTTGTAGATCAGTCAGGCGGCAGTCGCCTGCACTGTCAGTAGCAATATCGAACAAGCCCATTGTTTGTTTTTTTACTTGTTTGTTTTTCGAACAAGCCCATTGTGATCAACGGTAGTGATACCAGAGACAGAAGAGGAAGTGAGACACCTCAGGTTGTCACTAGTTACCACAGTCACAAAGTCAGAAGGCCCGCCTACTCGACCAATCAGATGAGAGAGTGTGATGACACAAATAAATGTGCAAAATGAGCACTTAACATGAAATCAGCCAAAACACCTCAAAACAAGACATGGTATCAAGGGCAAGATGAAACTAGTCACTTACGATTCCCCACATGGCAGTTTCTTGTCATTGTTGATAGCTATCTGGCCATCCAGAATCACAACAACTCACGGTCTTCTGCCCCATTGAAGCGTGCATATTGTTTTCGTAATGTCGTCAGCTAACACATCTACAGTCGTGATCAAAAGTTTTGAGAATGACACAAGGATTGGTCTTCACAAAGTTCGCTGCTTCAGTGTTATGAGATATTTTTGTCCGATGTTACTATGGTATACTGAAGTATAATTACAAGCAAAGGCTTTTATTGACAATTACATTAAGTTTATGCAAAGAGTCAATATTTGCAGTGTTGACCCTTCTTTTTCAAGACCTCTGCAATCCGCCCTGGCATGCTGTCAATTAACTTCTGGGCCACATCCTGACTGATGGCAGCCCATTCTTGCATAATCAATGCTTGGAGTTTGTCAGAAGTTGTGGGTTTTTGTTTGTCCACCCGCCTCTTGAGGATCGACCACAAGATTAAGGTCTGGGGAGTTTCCTGGCCATGGACCCAAAATGTCGATGTTTTGTTCCCCAAGCCACTTAGTTATCACTTTTGCCTTATGGCAAGGTGCTCCATCATGCTGGAAAAGGCATTGGTCGTCACCAAACTGTTCTTGGATGGTTGGGAGAAGTTGCACTCGGGGGATGTGTTGGGATCATTCTTTATTCATGGCTGTGTTCTTAGGCAAAATTGTGAGTGAGCCCACTCCCTTGGCTGAGAAGCAACCCCACACATGAATGGTCTCAGGATACTGTTGGCATGACACAGGATTGATGGTAGCGCTCACCTTGTCTTCTCCGGACAAGGTGTTTTCCGGATGCCCCAAACAATCGGAAAGGGGATTCATCAGAGAAAATTACTTTACCCCAGTCCTCAGCAGTCCAATCCCTGTACCTTTTGCAGAATATCAGTCTGTCCCTGATGTTTTTCCTGGAGAGAAGTGGCTTCTTTGCTGCCCTTCTTGACACCAGGCCATCCTCCAAAAGTATTCGCCTCACTGTGCGTGCAGATGCACTCACACCTGCCTGCTGCCATTCCTGAGCAAGCTCTGCACTGGTGGTGCCCCGATCCCGCAGCTAAATCAACTTTAGGAGACGGTCCTGGCGCTTGCTGGACTTTCTTGGGCGCTCTGACGCCTTCTTCACAACAATTGAACCTCTCTCCTTGAAGTTCTTGATGATCCGATAAATGGTTGATTTAGGTGCAATCTTACTAGCAGCAATATCCTTGCCTGTGAAGCCCTTTTTGTGCAAAGGAATGATGACGGCACGTGTTTCCTTGCAGGTAACCATGGTTAACAGAGGAAGAACAATGATTTCAAGCATCACCCTCCTTTTAAAGCTTCCAGTCTGTTATTCTAACTCAATCAGCATGACAGAGTGATCTCCAGCCTTGTCCTCGTCAACACTCTCACCTGTGTTAATGAGAGAATCATTGACATGATGGCAGCTGGTCCTTTTGTGCAGGGCTGAAATGCAGTGGAAATGTTTTTTTGGGATTAAGTTAATTTTCATGGCAAAGAGGGACTTTGCAATTAATTGCAATTCATCTGATCACTCTTCATGACATTCTGGAGTATATGCAAATTGCCATCATCAAAACTGAGGCAGCAGACTTTGTGAAAATTAGTGCCACGTACAATCAATTATTATTATTATTATTGCATGTTTTGCCGTACAGAGACGGAAACTGGTACAAAATACCAAAAAGGTGGACTTCAAGGCTATAATAAACATCGCCCACGTTATCTGCATTGCTGGTTTTAAGGTAAAGTATATCAACCTACTGTTGGTCAAAGTCTAAGGCTGCGTTTACTCAGGCAGCCCAATTCCAATTAAAACATGTTTTCTCATCTCAAGATGTTAAATAAATAAATGACCATAGTAAGTTCCTAAGTGCCAAATAAAGTGGATTTTGAAAATAAAAATCTAAAATCAAGATGTGTAAATTTGTTTGTCTACATGCCATTTTAAAAACAATGCAGCTATTAGAGTAGGCCTAAACCAATTTTGGGTTAAGCCTAAACCAATTTTGGGTTAAGACAAGTAACTATGAGTAGGTGCAAACATCATGATAAGCTTGCAAGCTGAGTTTGAATAAGAGATCCGATTACCACTTTGCATTTAGAATGGTTGGTTTTATTATGGCTACTAAATAACCAAATTTTTCTTTATTTTTACTATTTTCTACATTGTAGAATAATAGCGAAGACATCAAAACTATGAAATAACATATGGAATCATGTAGTAACCAAAAAAGTGTTAAACAAATCAAAATATATTTTATATTTGAGATTCTTCAAATACCACCATTTGCCTTGATGACATCTTTGCACACTCTTGGCATTATCTCAACCAGCTTCATGAGGTAGTCACCTGGAATGCATTTCAATTAACAGGTGTGCCTTGTTAAAAGTTCATTTGTGGAAATGATTTCCTTCTTAATGCGTTTGAGCCAATCAGTTGTGTTGTGACAAGGTAGGGGGGCTATACAGAAGATAGCCCTATTTGGTAAAAGACCAAGTCCATATTATGGCAAGAACAGCTCAAATAAGCAAAGAGAAACAACAGTCCATTATTACTTTAATACATGAAGGTCAGTCAATATGGAACATTTCAAGAACTTTGAACGTTTCTTCAAGTGCAGTCGCAAAAACCATCTAGCGCTATGATGAAACTGGCTCTCATGAGGACCGCCACAGGAATGGAAGACCCAGAGTTACCTCTGCTGCAGGGGATAAGTTTATTAGAATTACCAGCCTCAGAAATTGCAGCCCAAATAAATGCTTCACAGAGTTCAAGTAACAGACACATCTCAACATCAACTGTTCAGAGGGGACTGTGTGAATCAGGCCTTCATGGTCGAATTGCTACAAAGAAACCACTACTAAAGGACAACAATAATAAGAAGAGACCTGCTTGGGCCAAGAAACACGAGCAATGAACATTAGACCGGTGGAAGTTTGTCCTTTGGTCTGGAGTCCAAATTGGAGATTTTTGGTTCCAACCGCTGTGTCTTTGTGAGATGCGGTGTGGGTGAAAGGATGATCTCCACATGTTTATTTCCCACCGTAAAGCATAGAGGAAGAGGTGTTATGGTGTGGGGGTGCTTTGCTGGTGACACTGTCTGTGATTTATTTAGAATTAAAGGCACACTTAACCAGCATGGCTACCACAGCATTCTGCAGCGATACGCCATCCCATCTGGTTCTCGCTTAGTGGGACTATCATTTGTTTTTCAACAGGACAATGACCCAACACATCTCCTGGCTGGATAAGGGCTATTTTACCAAGAAGGACAGTGATGGAGTGCTGCATCAGATGACCTGGCCTCCACAGTCACCCGACCTCAACCGAATTGAGATGGTTTGGGATGAGTTGGACCACAGAGTGAAGGAAAAGCAGCCAACAAGTGCTCAGCATATGTGGGAGCTTCTTCAAGATTGTTGGAAAAG